CCAGGTTGGAGTACAGTGGCATGATCGGCATGATCATAGATAACTGCAGCCTTGAACTCCTGCGTTCAAGTGATCCTTCTGCTTCAGTTTCCTGAGTAGCTGGGACTATAGGCATGTGCACCATGCTTGGCTATTTTTTAAATTTTTAGTAGAGATGGATGCCCCACTATGTTGCCCTTACAGGCATAAGCTATCATGCCTGGCCTGTGATGTATATTATAGCTATTATAAATATTATATTCTATTATAGATAGCATATGTAGAAATATAGATATTACTTATCCACAATATTGAAGTCTTAGCAAAAATTCTTCACAGCTTGGTATTACTGTGAAGCCTATGCCGCACATGCAAGGACATTTTGCTTTAAGCATTTAGAAAAATCAATGTGTAAATCCAATATTTATCATTTATTTTGAAAGACATCTTATGGCAAATCAGTTTGTAAAGCAAACAAGAACTTTTCTTCATTTGTACTTGTTAACGCAAGTTTTATTAGTTTTCTTTAGAGTAGGGTACAGAGAAAATGTCCTGAAAATCTGCCTAGCCTCTGCGTATTTATGTATTCCCTGAACTGCTTGCTCTCCCAAATGGAGAAAGAATCTCACCAGATGGACTCTTCACTTGGCAAGTATTTACTGAATGTCTGGACGTGCTGGACATTGGGTCCCTTACTTCTCAGCGCCTTCCAATCTAATCATGGAGACCATGACTGAGCAAACATTTCATGTTTTTACATATAATGGCATGTAAAAGGTGAATGCCTTCAATGTTCTCAAGTCTAAAATAGGGTCAATAATGATACTTCCCACACAGGGCTGTGGTGAGGATTAAATGAAAAAACATGAATGTCAATTGATTACTATAGTGGCTGGCACAGGAATACTTTAGTGATTATTTCCTGGAAGCACGGGGTAGGGAAGAACTAACTAACCTGCCTGAAGGAGGTGGACAAGTTTTCAAGTTTTCAGAGCTGAGCAATGTGAGGTTTTTTTTTTTTTTTTTTTTTGAGATGGAGTCTCGCTCTGTTGCCCAGGCTTGGCCGGATCTCAGTTCACTGCAAGCTCCGCCTCCCGGGTTTACGCCATTCTCCTGCCTCAGCCTCCCGAGTAGCTGGGACTACAGGCGCCCGCTACCTTGCCCGGCTAGTTTTTTGTATTTTTTAGTAGAGACGGGGTTTCACCGTGTTAGCCAGGATGGTTTCGATCTCCTGACCTCATGATCCGCCCGTCTCGGCCTCCCAAAGTGCTGGGATTACAAGCTTGAGCCACGGCGCCCAGCCGCAATGTGAGCTTTTAACAATTAGTAGGTGTTTGTTAAGTAGAGACATCAGGGAATAAACATTCCAGGCAAAGGGAGCTGTGTATGAAGGCTCAGAAGTCCTGAGAATGTGGTAAATTCCAGGATCCTGAGTTGCCTGCCATGGTTGGAAGATAGGGTACATAAGGAGAAAGGGAACATGGTGGCAAACCAGGAGGTGAGCAGGCAAGGTTCCACAGGGGCAGTGATGTTTGAAGGATGAGTGGAAAAGTTGACCAGTCACAGAAGAAGAAAGAACACTGTACTGGTGGAAAGAGCATATTCAAAGGCACAAAGTTGTACATGCATATGAAATATTTGGGGGACAGTGTTCTGTAGGTGGAGCTTTGCATTCAAGAAGCTACCTCTCCCATGTGGAGCTTTCAAAGGTGTCTGGGCATGTTTGCTAGGCTGGTGGGGTGGGCCCCTTGATGTCAAATTATGTGAGGGTTTCAGAGGGGAATGGAAGCAGTACATGTGCCCGCAAAAGAAGAGGAATTTGGAAGACAGTAGTCTGTCTGTCTTGGAGGCTTGTACTCAGCACAGACTCCGCATACTGGCAAAAGGGATAAAAGTAGAATCTGAATGACTTGTTTCCATAAAAAACTGTGAGACTCTGAGACACAGGAAGACCCTGCTTTGGTGCACATAATACACACTCAAGAACTATTTGTTAACTGGTTTCACATAAGCTGATAGAGTGTAACATCACAGGTTGGGAGGAAAGAGGGTACTCTCTCTACTTGTGCACAGGATCTGGTACCATTTGAGAATGCTGAGGATTCCAGAGCATCACCACTGTGGTGGCATCTCTAGACCAGCAGCAAGAGCCCCTACCAGGAATAGCGCAGTTGGCAGCAGTGTTGATATGTGTGGTGGTACAGGCGGTCAATCGACATTTTTTCTTTTTCTAGCAGAGCCCATCATGGAAGTAGGTGTTGGGGAGGAAAAACTTTTCCTCTACTCTCTTAGGTTCAGTAACTAGGAGACTGTGGATTAAACTAACAAAAGACAGATTAACAGAAGGGAAAGCACACAATTTTTATTAATATTTACATGCACAGAAATTCATAGAAAGGAAGTGATACTCAAGTGGTTACACTTAGGGCCTTTTAACAAAGGAAAGGTTTGGGATTCAAGGGAGGATAAAATGTCGGAAAGTGACTAGAACATACACAGGGGAACTAATGGAGGGTAAGGGCTAGTTTAGTAAAGTCTTTGTCTTAGTCTGTGTTGCTATAAAGGAATACCTGAGGTTGGGTAATTTGTAAACAAAAGAGGTTGATTTGGCTCATGATTATGCAGGCTATACAAAAAAAATCATGGCACCAGCAACTGTTTCTGGTGAGGGCTTCCAGTGGCTTCCACTCATGGTGGAAGAAGGGAAGCTTGTGTGTGCAGATTACATGGTGAGACAGGAAGCAAGAGACAGAGGACGAGAGGCCAGGCTTTTTAACTACCAGTTCTCCAAGGAACCAAGAGTAAGAACTCACTCATTACCACAAGGACAGCACCAAGCCATTTATGCGTGATCTGTCCCATCACCCAAACACCTCCCATTAGGTCCCACTTCCAACACAGGGGATCAAATTTCAACATGAGACTTGGTGAGGCCAAACAAACCATATCCAAACCATAGCAGTCTGTTTCTGCAAACTCATCTTGTTGCTGACTTCCAATCTTCAATGATTAGAGTCACTCTTCTCTCCCTGGTATGAATGGGGGTGTATTAGTCCGTTCTCACACTGCTGTAAAGATATACATGAAACTAGGTAATTTATACTAAAAAAAAGAGGTTTAATTGACTTATGATTCCACAGGCTCTACAGAAAGCACGATGGCTTCTGGGGAGGTCTCAGGAAACTTACAATCACGGTAGAAGGCAAAAGAGAGGCAGGCATCTCTTCCATGACCAGACCAGGAGGAAAAGACAGAGGAGGGGGAGGGGCTACACACTTTTAAACAACCAGGTATCATGAGAAGTCACTCACTATCACAAGAACAGCAAGGAGGAAATCTGTCCCCATGATCCAATTATCTCCCACCAGGCCCCTCCTCCAACATTGGGGATTACAATTCAACATGAGATTTGGGTGGGGACATAAACCCAAACCATATTAGGGCAGCATCTTTCTCAAAGGGAAATTCATCCCCTGCTTTTAGGCAGATAAGGGGAAGGCAGATAACTGTGTCTGTATCTGTTGGTTCTCAATTGCCTGCAGGTCAAAATAATCCTTCTGCCAAAGTGTCATATTTGGGGGTGTCATATTCTGATCTTCTTCAAGGGTCAAAGCAAGAAAGGAATGAAAGGGTGGGTAACATGTTGTAACAGGCAGAACTTCTCAGTGCTTCCTGGGAATCACAGTGGCGGCAGGTGAGGAGACTATAGGGAAGAAAAACCTGTAAACATTTTCTACATTTAGTAGACCAAATTGACAGGACTGGGTGGAATGCGGATGTGGCTAAGCGGAGAAAGAGGGCCAAGCTGTCTGGTTTGAGTTATTTGCAGTTCCCTCAATGGAGGTGGAGCAATATTGGGATCTAAAGCCCAACATTTCAGAAGAAAGTATGCTGGGTGTAAAGGGGTACTACGCACAGCTCAGCATGAGTGTTGGCAACCAGAGGCCAAAATTCCATCCAGGGTGTGGGTCAAGAACTGTTGTGAGTTCCAGGGGTGCAGCATGGAGGCATGGCTTCTTATGCATCTCACACGACAGGCTAATCTCCTTTTCCTCATTATTTTCAATCTTTTCTATAGGACCCTGCCACCCCAGTATTCAGATATGGCCAAATAGCTCCCACATTTAAGACAAAATGGCTTTCCTTTGACCTCATATCCTTCTCCAGCTCCTTCCTTCACCGTATCTCTCCATACTCTGCAGTAGAACTTTTCCAAAGAGTTGTCTTTAGCTGCTGTCTCCAATTCCTCATCTCTCCACACACTTCTTACAGTCCACTCCCATCTGGTTTCTGTTCCAATCACTACACCAACACTTTTCTTCTGTGTTGCTAACACCAATATATACTTTTCTGTATCTATATTATTTGACTTCTCAGCAGGACCTGACACGTTTGACTACTCTCTTGAAGCACTCTCATATTTTGGCTTCTGTGATAGCACAAATTTAGCTAGTATTGGGAGCTTGAGGGGATTTGGTTTGGATCAACATATGTGACAAAACTCTTACTCTGATCCCTATACAAATGCTTGTAAAAAAAATAATGTGAGCAGCAGACCAAAATTGAGGCCACACTGAAACCTAAGTCAATGGCCTTCTGTACCCAATCTCTTAAGTATCTTGACCTAAAGGGAGATCAGAAATCAACAGCCAATTTCAGTGCCATGACATCCGTGAATATCCATGGTCATAAATGAATACTCACTATGCGCCAGACACTATTTTAATCACTTTATATGCAATGACTAAATTAAAGCTCACTGCAAGATTACAGGCAAAGGGAAATAATACCACTATTATACCATTTTATAGTTGGGGAGACTGACAAATACAGCTGGTAAGTTCAGAGCTGGGCTTAAAAATCTAAATAGTCTGACTGCAAAGTTCACACTCTTAACCACTGTGCTATAGTATAAGAATGTCAAGGTGATTGTGAAACTACCGCACCCACCCATGACCTATTACCCTGTCCAAGGTCAGTATTGACCAGAGAGTCAATTACTTATGCAACAAGACTACAGATGATTTTTCAAAATTAACTTGTTTATTAATTTAAAAATCCAGAAATACAGTGACTAGATAAATAAGTACCATAATTAGGTACATGTCCTGTGAGAACAGTGAAAGGGTAATACTGTTATGTTACTCTTGTTTACATGAGTTAACTAGAAAATGGCTACAACTGCTAAATGATGCTTATGGTCTTTGTTTTTCCAAGTGTTTATGATACAAATAAATACACAAGAAGAACCACATCCATTCTTCTCTACTAACTACTGGCAGCTTGGCCTCTTTTCCCTATGTCCTATTCTCTACACAACACCAAACACTGGAGGGTTTCTACTTTGACTTAACACAGCTCCCCAGCTCCTGCTTCCCACAGCACTTTGCAAGGTGTGTCCCAGCACCTGGAGGCAGGAGTATATCTAGGGAAACTCTCTGCATGTTCTCTTAAGGCTAAGCTGTCAGAGAACACCTGGGTGGGAAGGCTTTGGGATGAATCATCCAGAAGGAGAAACACCTCTTTGCCTCAGGATCTAGTTACTAGTCTCCACATTATGGAAACACTGCCACCTCTGGGATGTAGGGAGCAGCTGCATAACACCCTCCCCCCTTTACCACACACACACACACACACACACACACACACACACACACACACACACACACAAATGCTTTGTGACCTTTCAACAGGGATGTCCTGCTTCTCTCTTCCGAGGAGAACGTGTGTGATGAACTGGTGAGAGTCTTGTCCCCAGAAGCCCTGGCCATAAGGCCCTTGTGTTTCTTTTATAAAAATTGACTCCTTTATGCCAGGTTGTCATAAAGACTGAACATTTTACATTTTCCCCTATTGGTGTCAAATCCTCTTAGGAAAAATTCTCTCACCTATAGTCATGGAATGAGACATATGGGGTTTCTGGGTCCTTAAAACATTTCTACAGTTCATTCCTGCCCCTCAGAGGGAACAAATCTAGAAGGCATGCCTGAGAGCCTTGCTGTGAAGAATTAAGTCTTCCCACAAAGATGATTTCTAAAGCCAGACCACAGAATGGATAATTTATGCTCTGGTATTGGGCTGCAAGTAGACATTTTAGGAGAAGCCTTCTCTAGAATTCTCAGCTAAAATACCTGCTTGATGAATAAGGCAAGGATAGTAGGAAGGTTTAGGATAAAAATATCAGAACATCCAGCTCCCTAAATGATCAATAATTTTCTTAACTGAAGAGCCAACATGCAGATACTCATGAGGAACAAGCCACTTTGCAAAGTAAAAATCAACTCCTGTAATTGGAGAAGAAGGAAAACTTCCCTTTTAAAGAGCTTCTAGAATTTAGTAATTTAATAAAATTTTTCTGGCCAGACAACTATGGTCTCAAAAATATTAGTGAGTACTGATCTATTACTTGGTAAATTTTACTGATGTGAAAGCAAAAAGATGGCCTTTTTGACTTCTATCAGCTTCTTTCTTCAACAATTATTTTGTCTTACATGGATTCAGTTTCTGATCATTTTACTCAATTTAACTTCTTTCTGGAAGCCCCATAGGTACAGGGGGAAAAGAAAAGTGGTATCATTAGGGAAAAATTATTTACCATTTCTAAGTGAGTGAATGAGGCCATGAAATAGTGTTCTTATTCTTCACCCTGCCTCTATAGTTGGTGACTTAAATAGCCACAAAGACCTAAGGGCAGAGCCTTTTGTTCACAATTATTTACTCTCCTGGGCACCAAAACCTCCAAGCTACTTGGGATCCAGTCAAGGGAAAAGTAACATAGAGTCTCGGCCAGCTTTGCCAAATAAAGCTTTAGTTTAATGTGAGTATGGACGTGTGTGTGTGTGTGTGTGTGTGTGTGTGTGTGTGTGTGTGAGAGAGAGAGAGAGAGAGAAGAAGGGAGGGAGGGAGGGAGGAGGGAGGATGAGGAGCTAATTTTTTTTAAAAGAACACATGACATTCTAAAATTCAAAGGTATAATTTCATACAAATAATTGTTCTATACTGCAGAACTCCTACTAAGCAATTCCCTTCTCTTTCTTTCGCTTGAATAACTTTCTAGATAAAAACCCTGGGGTCTTGTTTGTCTTTAACCTGTAAAGAAATGTGATTCTCCAAGAAACTAGAGCAGTGTTGTGGTGTTCTATCCCTCCTCCTCCCACACATAATTTAAGACTCTTCTAGTCTCTTTGGAGGAGATGTTCAATGGCTGACACACCACTCCACATAAAGGCGCAAATTATGCTGTGCATGGCGTGAATAATTGACTGCATTTGAGTTTGGAGTTTTAGGGCACTGTTGACTTAAGCAAAATAAGCCTGCAGTCCAGCTGCAGCTTGAGTTTTCTTGCTTTACCCTATCCAATACTGTCTTTCTTGCCTAACAGTGGCCCTTTTCAGATCTCTCCAGGTACAAAACCTTGACCAAATCTTCAAGCTCTGTTCTGCACACACGACTTGAACACATCTGGCTGATCTGAGCTTCTCCTTCGGTGAAGATCTTCCACTGGCCTAAAAGGCAAATAAACACAAAGTGGCTGGGAGTGTGTAAGAGGAGAGCAGAGCAAATTAGGAATAGAACCAATATACCCCATGCTTACCCACTTACTCATGGACCTACCAGGGGATTTGGAATACAAATGTCAGCTGGTTTCAAAAAATGCCCCCAAAACCCTTTTCTAGTGGCAGATATGGAAAATGGGAAATGAAGTTTTCATTTCAACCCATAGCATTTGTAAGAATCCCAAGAATAATACAGAACTGCCCCTCCTCAAGAGCAAAACCTAAGTGTTATTCTTGGAATTTTTACAGTATATTTAGCATTTGCAAAATGCTTCAATATCTGCTTGTTAGCTATTTAGGCAGCTTACTTGGCACCAGGTCAAAAAGGCACTTTGGAAAACAGCACCTACTGTATTACTGGGGCTTTGCTCACCCTTAGGGTTCCCAAATATTGGTTTGGGTTACTTGATTACTGTTTGATTATGTATCACTCTTTTCTCTATTCCTGCTATCTTTTGTTAAAAACTTCTTGACGTTGCTTTCTCCTATGTCCACATGCTGTCCTTATACCCCCTTAGCACCCTAAGTCACTTCCCATGGCTCCTCATCCATTCTTACATACCCCATGGAATCCCTTTCCACTCAGAGTAAACTTGGCTGTAGCCCTTCCATGCCCTGTTGTCTCTGCCCACCTGGATACTGTCTTTTGTCTTCTTTTTATTCCTGTGCTCATGGTACTGCAACTGGAGAACTCCTAGTCCAAGTTAAGCCAACTCCTCTTAAGCCCAAACCTGTCTTGAACCTCTTTTCTTTCCCTTAGCCACATGAGAACATGACCCACCTTCCCTATGGGCTTGAATTATCTGCTCCTTTCTCCCTTGGATTTATCCCTTTTCCCCATTCTCTGTGACTCAATGGGAAGACAGAAGGAAAAACAAAAAACGAGAAGAGGATTTGGGCAAGGAACCAGCTGTTACTGAATCTCTATAATGTGCTGCGCTCTGCTATGCACATTATATAAAGGAGTTGGGTTTGTTCTTCTTTGCTCCTAGGTGACTCTGTAGGATCATACCAACTTCCTTCAGCTACACACAGTTTGAGGCACATACCTTCTACTCCATTATATACCCCAAATCCTGCCATGGGCACAGAGTACATCTAAATCATTTTTTAAGTCCCCTGGAACCTAGCATAATGCCTTGTTCACAGTATGAACTAAAACAAGTAACTTCAAAAGTCCTGTCATTGATCCTAGGATCCTAGACTCTGCCTCCTTTCTTACTCACATGTAAGGACTCCCAACTTTTCCATTTGAATTATCATACTGTCCTGTTATTTACATTAGTCCTGCCAAAGACAAGCAACTGACTGCCTTGGCTCTCTTTCCAGCTGCCTATTGGATAACTCTGCTCAGATGGCTCTTAAGCATATTAATCTAAACATGTTCCAAGTGAAACTCTTTTTCACCAATACCTGCTTATTCTTCACAGTTTCACTGTTGGTGAATGGTATTACTATTCACCCAGTCAAGTTATGAATATCAGACCCATTCCAAACTCATTTCTCTCCTTGATGCTGATCTTGTTGATTTAACCTCAGAAATGTTTCTCACAGTGACCTCTCCTCCCCTGTCTCACTGATTTAATATAGTATAATTACTTCCTAATTCAGACTATCCCACTTCTCTTACTAAGGGTCCACCTTTCACTCCACACAGTGAGGACCTCTTTCCAAAAGAAAGAAAGACAGAAAGAAAGACAGAAAGACAGAAAGACAGAAAGCAAGCAAGCAAGCAAGCAAGCAAGCAAGCAGACCTGAATGCACCATTCACTTGCTTAAAAACCTCCACTGGCATTCTCTGGCCTGGAGATCAATTCCAATGTCCTAGCATGATAAATTGGGCACTTCATAATCTGGTTTCATCAAGTATGTGCTTAATGTAATAGATGCATCTGATAGCCGAAAGACATCTTTCCAAAGCACCGTATTGATATCTCTATGCTATTTGTAAGTTTGCAGCAACGACAGATGCTACTTGCCTTATGTCTAAACATTTTACTGGCTTTTTTCAGGCCCTATGACTGCTTTCTACCTCCAAATCTTCTAATCTTTTAGTGCACCTTCTGTGGCCTTTGTGATCATTCCTCTCCCCTACCCACATTTCTTGTTTGCTCCTGTCTGAGTCTTCTCTTAGGCTGCACCCTTTTCTTGGACTGACTTCCTGACCCATTGCCCAGTCATACCCTTCTCTTTCAAAACACACCTCCTCCCCGAAGCCTTCCCCAACTAAGCCCACCTGGCTCTCATCTCATTGTTCTTTGCAAATTCCCCTGAGCACTTTGATATTTAACTCCTCAGAACTATACTAATTCATACTGAAGGCAGTTTCATGTTCTGTCTCATCCATTATAATTCCCTATGGATAGAAACTGTGTGCCTTTTAGCCCATTAGAAGTGCTCACCACCCGCCCCAATGCCTAGCAGTATCTTAGTCCCTAGGCTCCATCTAGTGTGGAAAGTGGGAGAGCTGCAAGTATTTTTGAGTGCCTGAATGCTTTTAAGGAAACATGACCACCCAGGGGCAGTTCCCAACGAGTAAAAGAGCTTTCACACAACACAGGAATTGATATGCCTTCAATTTCTCTTTGCCTTTCAAACCCACCACCAGAGGACACACCCTTCCAGATGTGAAGTCTCCACAAATATACCAGACCTGGAATCTTATGAGCTTTCTCCAACCCTCTTGAGACTCTGTGTTTAGCAGTTTCATTAAAGACATTCAGGAACCCTTGACCTGAGGTATCCTACACTCAGACTACATCTGGATTTGTATTCACCATGTCCAAGCTTTTCAGATTACATTCAGACACCCCATTCACTGCTAAGTCAGCCAGAAGAGAGATGGAACATCCTGTAGTGTTGATACTGAGCAGTGCTAATGTTCACTGAGTTTGCAGAGGGACTTTAGCTGTGGCTATGCTAAATTGAAAACTGGATGTGCTTTCCAGGGAGCAGTCAAGAAAAGCACTACTTACTCAGGGTTGTTCTGGTCACCAGCTTGAAGTGAGGAAGCTCCTCAAACATCCTCTTGGAGATCTTCTCAATATGGAAGTGCTGGAGAATGCCTAGGGCCAAGCAAAAAGTGGAGCAAGTGGTCAGGCACTCAATCTGGAACCATCAACTCCCTTTTTTCTGCTCAGGCTCAGCATATCATTTCATTACTAGGGCTTAAGAGTATCGAGCTGGGCTGTGTAATGTGCTTAACCAGGAAATTGGATGGCTCAAGGGTTATAATTGACTCCATTTGTTTCCTTGGCTTACTGGCTTCCCCTCGGCTTCTCCAGTGGATGGAGATAGTGCTGCTGACCATGGGACTCTCTCCTAGGGAAAGCCACATGGAATCTAGCATAAGTGCTTACTGGAGCTTCTTCAGCTAAAGGCAGTATTAGAAATTCTGCCCTTGCCCCCAACCTGGGTAGACTTGTGTCCATGCCAAACCACTGGGCTGCCTTCCTGGCTAAGCACTGAGAGCCTGCAGTGGGATTGCAGGCAGGTTGGTTTTGTAAATGGAGAAGCCACCCTTGTCATTGAACCCACTGAAAAGCATATTTTCCTTTGGGAAATATTCAGATCCTTCAGCCTTCCTTATTCATAAATGGGGAGAGTTAAAATAGAGTGCCCTCCACAGTCTCAACCTTGCCTGAATAACTTTTATCACAGTAACAGGTAGACAACTGGCAACTGCCCTTATAGTTAAGGTGCAACATGTTACCAGCCCATTTAAACGGGTAAAGTAGATTAAGCCTCTTTTTTTTGTGTCCACCAAGCATAGACCTTGATAACCTAGCACTGTGAACAGGGGGCTATTCAGATGCTACATTAGCAAGTTGAAATTCATCTGCACACCTCTGAGAGGTGAAAGATGTGGGATGATGAATAGTGGGCCCACTGCTGGGGAATCGCAATAAACCAGTGCCTAGTCCTAGGTGTCCTGTTATGGATGAGCTAGGGAGTTAAAGATGGCAAAGCAACACTCCTAGGCATAGACCAAAAATAAGCATGAATGAGAAACATATACATGTTCAAGCATCTTTTTTTTTAAGGGTTAGGGAGAAATGCATTCTTTAGATAAAGACTGTTGTCTAAAGGGAGAGAAAAAAGCCTCATAAACACTGAGCAGTCTTTTTCAAAGCTTGGTCCAAGTGCCACGTGCATTAGAATCATCTGCCTATTTGTTAAACACGCAAATGTTTGGACTCTACCCAAGGTCTACTGAATTCCTATCTCTGGGATGGAGCCAGGTATCCGCATTTAAAACCAGCTCCCTGTGTAATGCTGAAGCACACAGAAGTTTGAGTACTCTTGAGCCTTATGTGAGAGCCAGTAGCAAAAAGATGTGTATATTTTCCAGCTGAAATCTCACTTATCCACTTGGAGTACGAGGAACCTTGACTACACTAAATCAGCACTAGCCTTGAGCCTGCAAAAAGTTAGAAGAGCTGTACGATCACAATGAACAGAATGTGGCTTGCTGTGGTAGTCACTGCGAATAACCAGAAAAGGAACTGAACATTGTGACTGGGGTTTCTCCAGTAAGACTATAACCCTCTTGAGGGCAGGGAGGATGTTTTAAATTTGTTTTACCCCATAATACACATCACAATATTAGGGACTTAGCTTTGCCCTGAATGAATGGGTTTCCATGGTTGTTGAACTTTACTCTGGAAAGAATGACAGACTACAGTTTGATAGTTTGTAATCCTGGCTACACATTACAATCATCTGAGACGCATTACGAACAAACACTGATGCCCATGCCCCACTCCAGATCAACTAATCATAATTTCTGGGGGTAGGGCCCAGATATTTGGTATTTAAAGGAAACCAAAACTCTCCCTGATGATTCTGATGGGCAGCCAGGGTTGAGAATCACTTCTCCAGCTTTTGGTGGTGTGAAAAAGACAGCTTTGGAAACCCAAGGGTCAATACGTGATCTTTAGCATAGGCCATCGTTAAATTTGAAAGGCCATAATGACAATAGCGTTAGATGTGTCAGTTTCCAAGCAATCAAAAAAACTTCTAATCCAAACGAAGGAACAGGTTGAAGCAAAATTAAAGTGAGTCCTCTCATCCTTTTCTGCGCCCCCTTACAAAGATGAGAAATTAATGTTGTCTTGCTCACCCTTTCGAATAGTCCAAACGTGGACCTCTACCTGAGGTGGTCTCTCAGTCTCAAGTGCTATTTTTCTGGTTGTCTCCCCATCCTCCATGAACACAGACTCATACACAGGCATTGTTTCTTCCCCACAGAAGTAGCCTTTGTTGTCAAAGCTTTGGCCTGGAAGTTCTTCTGGAATCAGGAAGCAAGTAGAATTTTGTCATGGTTTTCTAAAGCTAGAAGTGAACTTCTACATTTATGTATCTCATTGTTCATAACATCTCAGACTTATCAAAAGTGGACAATTAACAAGAACATTCTTGGAGAGACAGAAATTCCACCGATACTTGATTAGCCCAGCTTAGGCTGCCACTGCAACAAGCCACAGATTAAGCCACAAATCACAAAGGAGCACATAACCTTTGATTGAAGTCCATGTGTTGACAGAATTCAAAATTCTTTGGAACACTGGCCCCCTACTATTGTCACCGAGACGTGGACTTTCATGAGGAAAAATGTAGCCAGGTACAAATCTCCTAGGCACTTACGGGAACATAGGATTTTCCATACAGGGTCAGGATCATGCTCTGTCCAGCTCAGTGTTGCCAGGTGAGGCCCAGGGAATGGGCTGAAAAAGGGCTTTGGTTAACATCCCTGACATCATTTTGGTATACTTAGAAAACATTCATGACACTCATTTATGTGCATATACTTGCCCAAAGGATCTATCCAAATTGGCTTGACATTTCTGAATGCTCTTTGATTTGTTTGTAAGGGGAACAATAATACCGGATCAGCACCAGTGCCAAAATCTAGATGTCAGATTAGTCATATGTATGCTATGCCAAATGAATGGTTGGGAGACACAAAAAATTGGTCAGGTCCCTCAACTATGGATCATTTAATGTGTAAACTAAACTGTTGAATTTCAGCTTGCAGGCATAGAGGCACCAACCCCCTAATACTCTCCATTTCACTCCACCCTCCTCTTTCCTCAGCCCCCTGTTTTAAAAAGTTTCTTCTTGTTGGTTATCAGTGAGTTAAGTTTCCTTGCTGGCCTTGTAATCAGTACTCTCTTGAGCTGCGTACTTAAAGTGTACACTCAAATCAGAACAACAGATGCCATCTGTAAGAATATCTGAATTGTTGAGGATGAAACCACTGAGTGTTGAATGCTTTGGGTCTGTGACTCTAATTAGGGAGACTCACTGTTAGCCAATCAGACACATTTGGACTAGAAGTTGTAATCAAATTGCTATTGTATGTCTCTTGGTAACCTGATTAGCTTTCCCACCCCCACCACCATTTGGCATTGCAAGGACAAAACCATAGTCTTCTCTTGACGATTCCAGATTGGAAAACTCAATTTGTGGATTATTGTGGAATCAAGCTTTTTGTTTTCCTCCTTTTGTCATTTTTAGCTATTTATTTACTTGGTGGGCCAGTCTTTTTGGTGATATGTTAGGTAATTAAGGGCTATGTGCTAGCACTTTTTACATGGGTTGGAGAGAGGGAGGAGGTCACTGAGTGTACAGAGACTTCTATGTATTCAATTACTACCTTTAGAATGACAGCCAAATTCATTTCTCAAACTTTGCTCACCAGTTTAATATTGGCTACAGCTATAGCTGACATGAAATCCATGATGGCACTGGCAGTACCTGTAATATACTAAAAGTTCTCCCAGTAGCCTGAAGAGTCATCTTGCACCACTACCTCCTTCCCTCCAAGAGCTTAATTTACTTGACTGAAGGGATCTACAAACAACAAAACTCATTATTGACTTAACCCTGGCTGGTACTTGAAAATGCTAAGAAAAGCAAAGTTTGTCTTTAGAACTACCTACTCAGCAATATCCGCCATTTTTCACACTCTGCACTTCAAGGTGCTTTCTGATCACTACATGTCCACCTACTCTCATTTTCTTTTGGGGAAGACGATGTGCTTGAAGTCATTTCTGGCCATTTCCACAGCCCAAGAGAATGTTCCCATCCTGAGCCTTCCAGAATTCCTTGCGGAAGGGGTAATGAAGGAGAGGTATTATCCCAGCTGGGAAAACTTTTAAGTCTTAATAGGGACTTTTAATGCCATAACCTAAAAGGAGTATGTAATTATGGAAATTCCAGTTATTGGGATGGTATTGTGGTTGTATGTATGGTAAATGCTCATGATAGCAATAACTTAAGTGTACCCTTAGAATGACCCTGTATGGCAGACGCATCTGAATGTGTGTTCCCAGCTTGGGAATCCGGGCGTGGCCAACTGGGAGATTATTTCCTTGTCTATGAGGACCATCTGAACCCCAGGCTCATCCCTGGGGCTGCACAGGGCATTGGGGCCTTGAGTTTTGGGTTAGATGAAGGTTGCCAGGTGGTCGTCGTTAAGGGGAGAGTGTTCAGTGAAAATGCTATATAAACTGCATGCTGTTTGCAAGAGGTTGCAGTTTTCCTGCCCAACCCACTGCCACTGGACTGTTTCTATATGTAAGGTGGTTCTCCTGTCCAGCCCACCTCCACTGGACTCTCTCCCCTGTACGTAAGCCCCTAATAAAACTCCATGTCTTGTTTGCTGGCTCTGGATCTTTTCTTTGGCCTCTTAAACCTGGTGCCTTCCCTACTGAGGTTAATAGGGGTTTGGCACGTCAGTGTGAGAAGTGAGTTGGGGAACCTTCAGCAAGTGGACATCTTACCCAAGCCCGTGGGTGGCCACTGATATGCAAGGCAAGGTCAGCCTCTACCAGAGCAAAGGGAAGAGAGAGAGAGGAAACTCACATCTTTAATATTGGTCCTAGTTTGTTATCGTAGGAGCCTGCAATCACTTGTTACAATGAAGCTTGTGGCTGGATTATCAGAGAATTTTATTTATCTCTTTTCCCTTTTCAACATAACTGAATTTACCGTTCATTCTTCCTTCCATCTACTTCTCTCCTCACTGCCTTGTTCCTTTTCTTCTGTGTCATGTGTCATTTTTTTAAAAGGCCAGTAATGTCATGATTATCCCACTTCTCACCTCTTCACGTCATTCAGGACTCTACTTAAATATCTTTAGAGAAGCCTTCCCTGACCATTCCTTTAAAAGTGCTTCCTGCCCCATTCACTCTCTCTTGCTCCTGTTTGGCTTCTCTTCACAGCACTCACCACAATCTAAAATTACCTTACTGATTTGGGTTCACTGTCTTTCTTTTCCGCTAGAATGTAAAGACCATGCTGGCAAGTAGCCTTTGTCTTGTTCACATCTCTGTCCTCAGTGCGTGTAACCGTGTCTTGCACACAGTAGGTACTTAAAACATATTTCCAGATTGAATGCATGAGCAAGTGCATGCCTTCTGATGCTCTGCAGTTGCAGAGTACCTGGAGCAGGTGCCCTTGGCTATGTGGATATTGACTCTCAGGCAATGTGACTAAGGAGCGATTCAACATGCAGACACCCATGTCTGGCTCACTGAGAGGCAGATACACAGAATGAGACAGAAATTCTCTTCTTCCATGTTGCTCAATCAATCGTCTATCTCCACATACTTGAGCAGAGTAGGAAAGTGGGAAAAATAGCTCTTCCAGAAAAATTGGTTTAATCATTCAGACTTCAATACATTGCCAACTGGGATACTGGTGGGCAGTTTTTTACATGATAAATTTTATTACGTTTTCTAAATACAAAAGTAACACATATTTACTATTGAAAATTTGGAAACTACAAATAAATAAAAAAGAAAATAAGAGTTACCCATAATTCAGTCACCTAAAAATGGTTACTGTTAACATTTTGCTGTATGCTCCTCCAGTCTTTGTGTTTCTCTTTTTTGTCTTAGCATATATAAACACTTTCTTTCTTTCCTTCTTTCTTTCCTTCTTTCTTTCTTTCCTTCCTTCTTTCCTTCTTTCGAGACAGGGTCTGGCTGTTGCCCAGGCTGTAGTGCAATGGCACGATCTTGGCTCACTGCAACCTCCACCTCCCGGGCTCAACCCATCCTCCCAAGTAGGAGTAGTTGGGACTATGGGCACATGCCACCACACCTGGCTAATTTTTGTATTTTTGGTAGAGACGTGGTTTTGCCATGTTGTCCAGGCTGGTCTTGAACTCCTGGGCTCAAGTAATCTGTCTGCCTTGGACTCCCAAAGTGCTGGGGTTACAAGCGTGGGCCACTGCACCTGGTCAATGCTTTCTTTTTTAACACAAAAAGTGGGATCATAATATACATATTGTTTTTTAGCTTGCTATTTTTACTTAACAAATACATTGCAAACATCTTTGTCTGCCATTCAATCTTAGTCTATAATGAGTTTTAATGGCTATATTAATATTCCACAGTACAGATACACCATAATTTGTTTAATCATTCCCATATTCGTGAACTTTCAGATTGTTTCCAATTTTTCAGTATTGTAAACAGCACTGTAGCAAAAATTCTTATTTGTATATCTTTGTGTATGTCTCTGATTACTTAGGATTCCTAGAAGTGGAATTTTTTAGCCTTTTTTTTTTTTTTTTTTTTTTTTGAGATAGGGTCTCACTCTGTTGCCCAGGCCAGAGAGTAGTGGTGTGATCGTGGCTCGCTGCAGCCATGATCTCCCAGGCAATGATCCTCTCACCTCAGCCCTCAGCCTCCCAAGTAGCTGGGAGTACAGGCATGTGCCACCATACCTGGCTAATTTTCTTTTATTTTTGTAGAGATAGCGGTCTCACCATGTTATCCAGGCTGGTCTCAAACTCCTGGGCTCAAGAGATCTTCCTGCCTTGGCCACCCAAAATGCTGGTATTACAGGTGTGAGTCACTGCACCCGGCCACCAAATGTTTTAATAAACATTACCAACCTGAGAGGACAATTGTTTTAAAAGCAATGACTTGTTTGTCCCGTCCTCACAACTTTTTGATTATTTTACTTTTTAATTGAATCACCAGCATCAATAAAATTTCAAGCACACAATGAAATAAGATTTGGTCTGAAGGCCCGAGATTAAAATTGGAATATTATACAATGAGAAGCTTTATGTTATCATGGGTAATTTACGTAAATATTAGTTTTTGTCTGAAATTATCTTGTTGCATTACTTTTTAAACTATTAAGTGTTAGACTCCTGACAGAAGAGAAAATTGTGTTCATGAAACTACCACTATGTGACACTAAAAGGTTTGAGGATCCAGTGAGACCACAGACTTGGAAGTCATAATAGGTGATCATTGCTGGGTGTCCCAGATGTCCATATCATCCTTAGAATGTGCTCTCTGTTGGCCGGATGCAGTGGCTCACACTTGTAATCCCAGCACTTTGGGAGGCTGAGGCGAGTGGGTCACTTGAGCTCAGGAGTTTGAATAGCTGGGTGTGGTAGTGCATACCTGTAGTCCCAGCTACTCGGAAGGCTGAGGCGGGAGAATCACTTGAACCAGGAGGCGGAGGTTGCAAGGTTGCAGTGAGCTGAGATTGTGCCACTGCACTCCAGCCTGGGTGACAGAGCTAGACTCTGTCTCAAAAAAAAAAAAAAAAAAAAAAAAAAAAAAAGAATGTGTTCTCTCTGTACTCGTAATAAATACATTTTCTCATAAATTTCAATGCCCCGTTCTCTACACCTTATCAAATAGCTCCTGTCCTTCCTGTCCACACCCTGCCCCCTATGTACTCTGGAAGATGGGGGTTGTTACATTGAGGAAGATTCTGTGTCCCAAAATCAGTGCCTCTCAAGCTGTAATGTGCATTAGAATCACCTGAGGTTCTTGTTAAAATGCAGATTATGATGTAGTAGGTCTTGAGTGGGGGCCTGAGAGTCAACATTTTTAACCAGCTCCTAGCTGTTGCCAGTCCATAAACCACACTTTGAGTAGCAAGACCATAAATGACCCTGGGCCTACAGCAGTAGTTCTCAAACTTTTCTGCACATAATGTTCACTTTGGGATCTTTTAACAATGCCACAGCCCAGACCATACCTCAAATCAACTAAATTATAGTCTCTGGGGATGGGACACAGGTATATGTAGAAGCTCTCCAAGGGGTTCCAATATTTAGACAAGTTTGAGTACCACTGGCCTGCAGGAAAATGCTCAAAAAATATACATTGATTCAGGGCATGTTTGCCTTCTAGTCATGAGGAACTAAGTTGAAGAAGTATATAATTTAGCTCTCTACCTGCTTTTTAAAATGTTTGAATTTTCATCTCTGTTTATAAAAATGCTTTGCAGAAAGCATAAAAAATGATGAATTCATGTGCCTGGGATTGACTAAATCATTGACTCTTAGAATGCTGGAGCTGTAAGGGCCCCCCAAAAAATCTACTCTGACCCTCTCATTTTGCAAAGAAGGAAACTGAAGCTCAGAGGGGTGAAGTGACTTGTTATAGATCACACAGGAAACCTGTGGCACACCAGAGACAGAATGCTTGATTACCCATCCTATATTCTGTCAACCCCATTATTAGGGATTGATAAATCCTAGTATCAATCAATGATAAAAAAATATTTTATTTAGCTCATGTTTTAAAAACTACAATTTAAATAACTAACTTGTCTTTTTTTATCAGTCAATATTTTCTATTGGCATAGAAAAAACAATGGGCTGGAAGCGACTTGGGTTATAGGCCTTGGTTTTATGATCGATTAGTTGAATGAATCTGGGCAAGTCATTTGACTTTATGTACTTCAGTTTTCTTATCTTTAAAAGATAAATAACAATATAATTATAGGATTCTAGTGTTAGAAGGGAGCTTACAGATAATTTTTCTAAACTTTCAATTGTACAGATAAGGCTAATGAGGCTCAGAGTGGATATGGCACATCTCCAAGGTCACTCAACACCTTAGGCTTGGATCAGAACCTGGTCTCCTTCTACTCTAACTCACCTGCCTCTTGTCCTGTCTTAAAAGGGAAATGGATGTGATTGTACTTTGATGGGTTTAATAGTGATATAAATGAAAGCTGCTACTGTTCTTCCTAATCAACATGATAGCCTAAATTCTCTACTATTTAGAAAAGCAGGTAAGTTCAACACTCAGGGATACATGAGAGGTGTGGTAGACACAAGCATATTTCTGGGTAGTAAATTTCTTCCAAGCAACTGTCTTTTCAGTCTTTCAAGAGAGGAGAGAATGAAATTCATTATTATTAGAAATATTATCATTATAATTATATGAAAGGTTATATTTCTGATGCCCAAAGAAAGCTTAGAAAGACTACGTGGGAATCTCAGTCAACCAAAGGCAGGGCCTCCAACCAACGCACCTTTTGCTTTTTTACCTGGACACACCTTGCAGCACTTTCCATCTATTTTTTGAGGATACTTGCAGGGGTATCGATTAGGGCAGTGGATTTTCTTACACTCTTGCTTGGTGACATTACAAGTACATAGCACACACTCCACAATGCCAAATGCCCGGAGGTTTGGGTGCCAGGACTCTCCATGAGAATAGGTCTTTCCATTGGAAACACACACTGAAAGAGAATGTAGTATTAGCAATTAAAAGCTAAAGAGCTAAAATGGAACCCTATATTCAGAACCCAAGCCCTGAACTACTTAACACATCAACCATCTTTTGTTCTTGTCATAGCCATGGGGCTATGTTTACCGAGTAGTATCTGTGACCAAAAAACAGCTTGGGCCATATTCTACTCACAGCAGTTTCTCCAAATTCTTCAGCAGCAGCTTCTGGATGCTTATAAATGGCCTCACACATAGTAGGCAGTCTATATATATATGTATTTTGAGACAGGATCTTGCTCTGTCACCCAGGCTGCAGTAGTGTGATCGTGGCTCACTGTAGCCTTGTCTTCCCGGGCTGAGGCAATCCTTCCACCTCAGTCACCCGAGTAGTTGGGACTACCATGCACCACCATGCTGTGCTACTTTTTTTTTTTTTTTTTTTAATTTTTGTAGAGACGGGATCTCCCTGTGTTGCCCAGGCTGGTCTCAAACTCTGAGACTCAAGAGATCCACCTGCTTCAGACTCCTAAAGTGCTGAGATTTCAGGCATGAGGCACCGCACGCAGCCTATATATATATATTTCTTTTTTGAGATGGAGCCTTGCTCTGTCATCCAGACTGGAGTGCAGTGGTGCGATCTCGGCTTACTGCAAGCTCCACCTCCCGGGTTCACGCCATTCTCCTGCCTCAGTCTCCCAAGTACCTGGGACTATAGGTGCCCTCCACCACGCCAGGCTAAATTTTTTTTGTATTTTTAGTAGAGACGGGGTTTCACCGTGTTAGCCAGGATGGTCTCGATCTCCTGACCTCGTGATCCGCCTGCCTCCCAAAGTGCTCGGATTACAGGCGTGAGCCACCGAGCCCAGCTATATATATATATATATGAGAGAATAAATGAATGCATGAAAGCAGAGTTCTATCTCTAGTAGAATGTAATGTTAGTGTTTTCAATTCTATAGAAAATTTGTATGCCTCAAGTGGATGTGCTTCCAGGCATGAAAATTTCCTTGGGAGATTTGCTTTCCATGGAGGCTAGATGCAAAAATTACCGCTCTTCCCAAAGGGACAGTTTCTTCCAGATCCTGAAGCAAATCCATTCAGAATGTCAAATGCTATGAGTCTGTCTGATCCACCAACATATATAAGTATGAAGCTTAATGGTGTTGGGCACTCTTTGGTGTGGGAAGGAAGGTGGTAAGTCAAGATTGAGAAAGGACCAACCGGCCTCCTGGGTAACTTGTGAAAGGATAGCCTTTTATGCCACTAATCTTCAGGCAGTTTCCTCAGTCTCCCACCTCATAGTGGCTATAGATATTTGGCTACAGCTGATCACTGCTTGCTTCACAGATATCCTTTGGCAGTCTGACATTTGTTAAGTGGGAAGTTAAGTCATTGGCCCCATGTCTTCTGAAGGGCCTTAAAAGAGCAAGCATCTGGCTGGGTGTGGTGGCTCCTGCCTGTAATCCCAACACTTTGGGAGGCCGAGGCAGGAGGATCCCTTGAGCCCAAGAGTTCAAGACCAGCTGGCAAACAAAGAGAGACCCCAGTCTCTACAAAAATAATAATACGAAAATCGCCAGGTGTGGGAGTGCATGCCTGTAGTCCCAGCTACTTGGGAGGCTGAGGTGGGAGGATCACTTGGGCCCGGGAAGTCGAGACTGCAGTGAGCCATGATGGCGCCATTGCACTCCAGCCTGGGTGACATAGCGAGACCCTGTCCCCTCCCCTGACACACCCAAAAAACGGAGCAAGCATCTGGGATGCAGGCTGAGGGGCCTAAAAAGGGAAGGGGCCACAGGAGCATCTTTCTATGCAAATCAACACCAAATATATCTGGCTCCTACTATAAGGCATGGACCTAGGCTCCAAGATAAGAACTGCACAGGGCTGCAGATGGGGAAGTCTGAGGATGAGTTATCTCCTTTTTTGAGAGTGCTGAGACATTGTGGAGATTTCAAGTCATGACTAGGACTGAGTGTGTTTCTTATTATTCCCATCACCTCATCACACCCAGGGAAACCTGTGGGCATCCCAATCAACAACATCTCTAGGGTGGGTTGTATCACTTTAGGCTGGGCTGTTGGGGAGAAATAGTCCCACAGTCCCACTTGAGGCATTTCTAGGAATTGGCTGATTTGGCTGCAAGACAATGGCCTCAGAAGGATGAATCACTGGGCTCTTTCTCATCAAGTCCACTGAGTCGCATTAAGATATAAGAATAATGTTGGCTGCCTTTTCCTGTCCTTTGCAAGAGCTGCTAGAATACTGGACACTCTAAGTGGTCAACCCATGTAAAGATTTCCAATAACCTAAACTGGAGTGGCTCACAATATTACAATGAGACAAAATGGAGAGCTGACACCTCAACTGTGAGGTCAGGGCTGTGGACAGGATCACACAAGACAGGCCAGATGTGCTGTTCTCTTTCCTGCCCCTACCTCTTTTTTTCTCCCCAAACAGTGATGTTCCCTTCTAGACAGTGTGATCAAGTGGATATATAGTATGCTTCAAGAAAATTTAGGCTGGATTCAAGTTCAAAATGGTGGAGTCCTATCATTTTTCTTATTTGATGCTAACAAGGAGCCAAGTAGATATATCAGAGGACCACATTATTAGCAAGAGATCTAAGGAAAAGAACGACCCATGCTGAGCAGGGCAGGCAGGACTCCCAGTGTTATATGGCTAGGTTCCCTCTCCCCTGAACATTTGGACTAAAGGAATGGTCTAGACTGGGTGAGAGCTCAAACTCTGCAGTGGAATGGGGTGAGGTTAATTCTCGACAAGGAAACACAACCCTCTCCTTACCCAAAAAATTCTCGGGATTATTTTGAATCATCCAGCTTGGGAGTTGGGGGTGGGGACAAGTGATTCCTCAGTGAACTATATTAGAAAGGTCAGAATAGAACTGTTGCATCCAAATCAGTGGGGGCAAATGAATAAATGTAAACCAGCTGGGGTTTTTGTAGGCCATGGAGAAAATCAAGGGATGAGCCTCTGCCCTGAAATTAAAGAGACCTTGTGGAAATTGTGGGATTTAGGATTTTCAAAATCCATTTCCCTACACCTTTAAAAAGCTTTGAAATACTTTCACAACAAATGGAATCTATTGGAGGCAATTTAGAATTGAAAATCAAACTATCTTAACCTAACTCTCCCTCCTTATTTCATAAACTTTTATCAGAAATCCTTGGAACTTAAAAATAATAAAATTCAAATCAAACACAGATCGATAGTAAGTATTTCCAATTCTTCTAATACATCACCATTTTCCATTAACAGTTTTATTTTGAATTTTTTTAAGCCTGCAAATTTCAAAAGCAATTTAATTTTTTTATCTGTAATCTGAAATTTACATCTAACTAGTAACAGATGTGATCAACTACCTTTGGCTTGACTAGCTTTGTTGAGATTTATGGTAGGAGTTCTTTGTAACGGATTGTTTTTCACCCATGTTATTCAATCATTTGGTTTAATAATTTATTGCTTTTAACCCATTCAGAGAACTGCTTTTGATTTGTTTTCCCTTTAAAGGAAACAAAACATGTTTGTGGTTTCATAAAAGGAACCAGCTGAGCCCTTGCTCCAACGAGCTAGTTGACAGGAGGCCTAAAAAAGTAAGAAGCAGTCAATTGTTAATGATTGAGTTTCTCCTCCCCTGACTCCTGCTACTGGTATGTGCGTGCTTGGCGGGGCGGGGCGGGGGCGCAGGGAGCAGGTGGAGGCCAGAAAATGCTGTGCAAGAAGAAATTGGAAGCTATGGAAGTCTGTGGGTGCCTGTTGTAGCCAGTTGATCAACTAAGTGGACAGCATGTCAGTCTTAACCTGATCAGTCTTCCTGGTGCTCAGCCAGGTGGTTTTGGGATTTCTCACTGGATTACTCTTTTACCTTTTTAAAATTTTTAATTTAGAGACAGGGTCTCACTTTGTCACCCAGGATGGAGTGTAATGGCACAATCATAGCTCACTGTAACCTTGAACTCCTGGACTCAAGTGATCCCCCTGTCTTAGCCTCCCAAGTAGCTAGGACTGCAAGCACTCACTACCATACTTGGCTAATTTTTTTTTTCATTAAATTTTTTTTTGTAGAGTCTTGTTATGTTGTCCAGCCTAGTTTGAACCCCTGGCTTCGAGTGATCCTCCTGCCTCAACCTCCCAAAGTGCTGGGAGGCATGAACCACTGCACCTGGATTACTCATTTCTAAGGACAGTCTCATATGCTACATATTCAACCAGAATCTGAGTGTGGGGCCAGGAATATGTATCTTTAACGAGAAGCCCAGGATAATCTGGGGTGCACTGAGGTGTGAGAATTGCTATTTCTAAGGTATAGATAAGAGCTTCAGTGATGTTGGGCACTGAGTACCTTTGAATGTTGGGTCCCCTACTAAAACACAGACAATCACTCTTTCTGTTAAAGACCCAAGGAATTTTCCCAAATGACCTACAATCCCCAGGGACAATTGAGAAAATACAAGAGGCTATTTCATAAGCACAAAAGGGGCCAGACTATGCTCTTTTGGCTGCATTTAAGGAAGTCCAAAGAGTCTCCTGGAGTCACCTGACTATACCCACTTTATGGACTTGATGCTAAATGAGCCACAAGTGAATATGGGCTATTCCTGGGAGAAAGAGTCCTTTCCCAGCTCCAGCCCTGCAAAGACCAGGGCTGCTGAGGCCCTGTTGTGGAAGTATACAAAAGAAGGATGCCCCTTACCTTGTCCATGCTTGTGTTTGTTATTGATGACAATTTGCACAATGGTTCCTGATGCTTGCTGGGAATCCATAAGAGCTCCGCGGTGACTTCTGGCCCCAGGAAAGCGGGACAGACCTCCAGCCTGTCGGCTTGGTGGAGGATCATAGTGAGAGCGGTGGTAAGAATGTCTCTGTAAAATGACAAGAACAATTTTCATCCAAAAGCCACCAATGAGATCACAGAGATTAAGTTATACACATTAGAAGTCATTCAATAATTTTGATTTATAGTGGTGAGCTCTTATTTCAGCTGCATGCTCACCTACACCAATAGGAACAGGGATGTGGTCATGTAAAAGCATCATTGGCAACATGCTGAGGTTTATCTCTCTTCTTCTAAAAGATAGGACTAGATTCACATGCAAACTTCTTAGGGAGAAAAGAGCCAAAAAGGTTAAAGTGTCCTTCCTGCTGCCAAGACTCTCACATTTCAGTTTAAGAGTTAAGACATTAGTCTGCACGCAAGGCAGAATGTAAATAGAGGCCGCAGAAGAAGTAAGAAGTCCTGCGCAAATCAGGAGGAGAAAGAGAGAGCTTCTAGTTGGGGAGGGTTTGTGATCTGGGCCATGAAGGATGGGTAGACTTTTTTACAGCCAGAGTATAAGGGGAGTAGTCCAGGCAGAGGTTTCCAAGTTGAGAAGGTGAAGCAGAGAACATCGAGTCCATAAAAGGGAACAGTTGCAGGATAACATTCCAAAAGTGGGTTGAAGCCAGATCATGGAGGACTTTAAATTACAGGCTAAGGGGTGAAGACTTTATTTGGTAAGCAATAGAGGTGAGGGCATAGAAGGCTTTGAGGGATTTTTTTTATTTTAAGTTAGAGAAGTAATGTAATTGGAACTGTTTCAGAGCATTGAATCCTGATCATGCATTGGGTGAACTGGATAGGAGGAAAAGATGAGATTCGAGTATAGTCTTGATAAGATGTACTGAGACTCTAAACACAGGTAATGGCATAAGATAATACAGCACAGTACAAATACCCTAGGTATTTTATAGATAGAAGAATTGATAGTACACGACAGTATTGGCATGTAAGCTCTACAAATCAAGGACTTTTTGTTCACTGCTACATCTCCAGTGTCTAGAATTTAGTGCCTGGCATCTAGAAGGTGCTCATCAAATATTTGTTGAGTGAACAAAACTGGCACCTAAGAAAAGCTTAGAGTCTTGTCATACAAGCAATCTTTCAGCAAGGGTTCAACACACATGATGACCAGACTATTGTGCTACCCACCCCTCTCCCAGAAGCTAAAGTAGGCTGGGGGTAGAAAAAGATGAAATGAATGAAGAATGGAACCTTAAGGCTTAAAGCCAAGTAAGATTAATTGTATTTTGTACGCAATTGTTAGGGGTGAAGGAGGGGGAACCCATTAAAAAAATCTTTCACAGGCAATTGAAAAGGAAGATCTTTATATTCAGTGACAGAAATAGTGAGGAACCTTGGGAAGATAGTTATGGGGTCCCCTGACCATATCATCCCATAAAACACTGATTAAAGTTATGGGCCAGACACACATGTTGCAAATTTCGCTTTGGGAACTATTATTGCTCTCCTGGCAGGAAGGGGCCACTGGTAGGGGAAAGGGAGAGTAAACAGGAGCTGAAGTAAGAGGACTGTTTTTAGCCTTTTGAAAGACATTATTTTCTCTATCTAAGAGGAGCCTACGCTGGTGCATTGCTATCAGAATTCACACAAATAAGAATCTGCATCAATTTGTTTTCATGCACATGGATAGGATTCTCAGTGCAAATATTCCTCATTCCCACAATGGCTTGTACTTCTCTGCCATAATTGCTCACATTCCACAAAGGCCATTACAGGTTGCTCTGTCCTTTTTGAAGTTTGGCAAAGTTTTGCCAAAGGAACACAGAGAGGACAGTTTGGCTGGTTGGTGTCCCACTGATCCTAAAAAGAAGCAGTTAGACTGGGATAGAATTGGAGAGGGAAGGTTGTTGACCTAGGATAAGCTGCAAGTACAAGAAGTTCTCTGACTCATGATGGTGAACACAAAATAAAAAGCTATTCTTTAGCACCAACGTCTCAGACCTGGGACATATCATAATGGTAGGACAATGATCATGACGAAAAAAAAAATCCTCGGCCGGGCGCGGTGGCTCAAGCCTGTAATCCCAGCACTTTGGGAGGCCGAGATGGGCGGATCACGAGGTCAGGAGATCGAGACCATCCTGGCTAACACGTTGAAACCCCGTCTCTACTCAAAAAAATACAAAAAACTAGCCGGACGATGTGGCGGGCACCTGTAGTCCCAGCTACTCGGGAGGCTGAGGCAGGAGAATGGCGTAAACCTGGGAGGCGGAGCTTGCAGTGAGCTGAGATCCGGCCACTGCACTCCAGCCTGGCCGACAGAGCCAGACTCTGTCTCAAAAAAAAAAAAAAAAATCCTCAAGAATTTTGATCACAGACCCTATTGTAGACCAGTCAGTCCCCTAGAACCTAATCTTGTTGAAGTCTTTTGTTTTACAAAGTGAAGCCAGGGAGGAGAGGCAGTTTATTCAAGCTGACTACGAAGATTGAGTTTTGGAGATGGTAGAAGTGGGGGGAAGATGAACAGAAGGAGGAAGAGAAGGAGAAGAAGGAGAAAGTGGAAGAGAGAATGTCCAGTCAAACTCAGTGGTCTATAACCATTTGACTAAAAGCTGCTCCAAAGACAAGTTCTTTCAGATACGGAAGTTCATTCAGCTACAATGTTCACCACCACATATACCACATACTCCACTTTGGCTATACACTAAAATTACCTGGTGAGCTGTAAAAAATACTCATACCTGGGTCCCACTCCGAGGGATCCTTATGTAAGTGGTTTGGGGGAAGGCCTGGGCATTAGGATTTTTATATACTCCCCAAGAGTCTCTGGTTTGAAGCCAAGGTTGGGAATCACTGACATAAAGGATCTTCTGTTTGGGGGCTGGAGTGGGTGGTGGCGGTGTGCGACTTTGATTTAAGGGTAATGGTTCTTTTAAGAGTTCCTCCCGTAAACAAATGAAAGAGACTTATGAAGGGCCATTCTGACCTTGTAACTCAGAGCAAAGGAGAAAAAGGTTATTAATGCCCTGAAGTAAGCGAAATTGGAGCTTATCTTAAAAATTAGCTGCAAATAGGCTGCTTGAGAGAGCAGGTCAAAACCAGTTAGAAATGACCATATAGCTATGATCTTTTATTTTGCTCAGTATTTTGGTATTTTTTGATTTACTTACTTGAAAGACTGAAAAATATTTCAGGCTTCAGAGGTGGCTCTAAAACAATTCTTTTCTGGTGTTGAAAAATCCCCACTATTGTAGAGGCTCCCCAGGAATTTCATGTTCTAAAGTCTACAATGTAAGAGTTTTATTGGTGCAGACAAGAAAACATCAGGGTCCAGAAAGGGCCCTCAGGTTCGTGATATTGTACTATAGATTTTCAAGATGTTACCATTTGGGGAAGCTGGGCAAAGGGAATATGGGATCTCTCTGTATTATCTCCTACAGCTGCAAGTGAATCTATAGTTATCTCAAAATAAAAAAGTTTAATTTAAAAAGCGGCTTCAGAATATATTCTAATCCATACAGCCATTAAAACATTGTATCTTAATCACTACGAACTTAGGACTATCCCTGGCTGGAAGACACTTAGGCCAATTTCCGTCCCAAACCATTGTTCTGACAATGTGAATGAGACATCGATTTTTATCTGTTTCATGTTGTTTCTATCCCAAACCCTTTCACTTTGTTTAATGGTACATTTCAATGTAATCTACTGGGGGCAAAAATCAGGGCTTGGCTGTTGTCCAAAACAAAATTATCCATGCTTTCATGTTTTGGCTTTCTAGTCTGTGCCTACTTCTTCCTCCCCACGTACCACACCACTCCACACACACACACACACACACACGCAAGCGTGTGCACGCGTGCACATACTCCCCATCAGTGGCAGGAGGACCAATTCATGAGAAATTACAACTTAGAAATCAAACAAAAACTGTTTCAGGTTTTTACAAAGGGGTCATATTTGAACCACTGGTTCCCCTTCCTGTGCACTTCATAAAACTTGCTAAGCTGATGGTTTTCAGACCACTTGGCAAAAGAAACCAGTCAGCTGTATTTCTGTTGAACAGAGGTTTTGCTGGTTTGGGGTAAATAGGAACAGTTTACGAAAAGGACAGTCTACTGGATAGGAAATGTGTTGTTAGGGCTGCCTTTTCTTCTTCCCCTGAGGAAGTTGGGCCTGCAAAGGATATTCAGAAGGGATTCTCCTATTTTCTCATTTTAGGCTGGTCAAGAGCAAACAACAAATTTGGAGTTTATTTCTGATTTGAGACAAATTCCTGTGCATTAAAATTAATGAGGAGACCCCTCCCCACTATACCATCACACACATTTTACGCCACCTCCCACACCCATTCATTCAACACTTATTTATTGGGTGACTACTACGCGCCAGGTATATATTTTCCCATTACTACAGATGCTATTTATTATTCAAATCATATCCCACAATATCTATCCCTTTCAGAACAAAGGAAAATATTTATTTATAATAAAGTGAAACCATATGGCCATTTTGGTCTACCAGGCCCAAATGTTTGTTTCTAAAGATAGGTCTTGAACTTTGAAAATCAACAACTATTTCAAGGGCCCACATTCTGTACCTGACCTTTTTTGCTACAGGAAGTACTATCACTAGGCCTGCCAATGAAGCTGAAAGATAAGCGTTGGAGTTGAGGACAGTGTAAAATGAAGTCAAGAAGAAAGGCTAATTCATGGCATTACCAGCAAGACTGCTAAGGTGGCCACAGTGCTTAGTGTGGGGGCCTCTCAGGGAATAAGCCACACAGCTTAAGGTGACTGAACCCTAAATTTGTTTTAGAATGACATCTGGTTGACAGTCACTAATTCAGCCACGCTCAACTTCCTACCACAATAAAAAATCGGGGCTGAGAAAAAGAGGAACACACAACACAGAAAACTGAGACTGACGTCATCTCCTGTCAGGCTCTGGAAGGAATCTCACTTACTATAAAGCAGATAGAGTTGCATGGAGAACATCTTTCCTCAGGGTTTATATTAACCAGCAAACAGGGAAGCCCACCCTCTTTTGCAGGATGCTGATTTTTTGAGAGTTCCAGAGTACTGTTCTCCAAACCCCTTCTCCCCAATTCTTCTGCAACTATTCAGAAACAGCAGTGTCCAGAAAATAATACTGATAGACAGTAAGACAAATAGAAATGGTTCCATCTCACTGCTTAATCATTGGGTTGGGTGTTGGCAAGCTGGGAGCATGCAAGTCAGAAGTGGCCCATGTGATAACCGGGAAGCCCAGCCTCAGCAGCACTGTGATGTTTGTATGAGTCATTCTACTGCATCCCCTATCAACACCTTCTTCATATGCTCAATATCCTCAGGCTTGCCCTGTAATTCCCTGGACTCCTGCCTTATATACAATATTTGCTGTGATGTTCTAAGGTTTTAGAAAATCGATTATATTTTATTACAAAAATAATTGATGCTTATGGGAAAATATCAGATTATACAGAAAATATAAAGAGTCAAAATCTACCTTTCCACCTGCCTGCTTCTACTCTTTTAAGATTAGCACACCTGACATGTTGGTATGTGACCTTCCAGATTGGTTTATATACATTTATACACATGCACATACAATTTTTACATAAAGAAGTGGTAGTGTAAAATTTCATTCTGCACCTTGTTTTGTTACTTAATATATCTTGGAGCTCGATTCACTTTACTACATTTAGACGTACCATATTCTTTTTAACAATTGTACAGTGTCCCATTAATTGGATGTACACACCAAGTCCATAGTAGACATTTAGGTTGTCTCCATTTGTTTTGCTTTTATGAAAACAACAATGCAATGAATGTCCTTGCATACTTTTTTTGTACAAGGATGTGATGAATACCTATTTATGTGCAATGGTCACCACTGTGCATTTTGTATGATACATTCTTTGAATTGGAACATCTCCTTTTCGGATTTTAAGAAATTTGAAGTGTAACTCTTCTTAGACATATATTTTTAGAGAGGAATTCTAGTTTATAAATTACTTCAAAATACAAAAGAACAAAAGATGCTATTACTTACATAGAAAGATGCCTACTTGTGAGGCTTATTCTGAGATTAGTGCAGAGAACAGAAGGGAGACATTGCCAGGCTGAAGGGAGGAGAATCCAGACTGCTACCTTTCCTCTCTTCCAACTGCATGACTGAGCGCCTAAGGCTTGGGAGAGAGTTTATGTGGACACATCTGAAGTACCTACCAAATCCAACCAAAAAGATGGTTGTATCTTACAACCCCACAGAAGGTCCTCACTGTTGAGGACAGGAGGAGTGACCTGGCTTCCTTAGAGAACATACATAGACTTGGCAAGTCATCCTAAAAGAATACCAACTTCTGACCTAGACAAAGGGCTGGGGCTATGGTTTCTTTGTGCACATTTCCTGCTTCCAGTTACCAATTTTACAGTGTACTTAAATGGTTTCCAGTTGGTGATGACATTCAAAACTTTGAGAAAAGGGAAGAAAAATGGTGTTAGAAATCGGGGTCTTTTTTTTTTTTTTTTTTTTTGGATTTGCTAGAATAGTAGCCATGGGGAGAGGAAAGCTTGGCCTGATGCTGTGGAGTGTTGAATTATTTGAGCTATTCACACTTACTGCTTCTCTGTTGGCAGGCTGTCGGAAGATATCACCATCAGAATGTTCCCATGACAATTCTCCATCCCCTGTTTATTAAAAAGAAATAAAGAGCAAATCACATTCATAGAAGGGAAAGCTATCACCCTTGTGACCCAGCAACATTTTGATACCATGATCCCAAAGTTCTCGAAGTGTTTTTGCTTTTGTGGCTGTCCTTCAAAAAGCGGTTGTGAAAGATTTCTCTGGGTGTGCCTCATTTTCCAAAACAACTCTGAAGAAAGTTGCCACTTTCTAAATAGATGACCTAGCAACATTATGCAAAATTTGGAAAATGAAAGGAAAATAATCACTTTCCACCTAATTTAGCCATCATTGTCACTTTTGCTCATTTTACTTCATGACAGTTAAGTATTTTGTAGGTCATATTTAACTTTTGTTTAAACTACCATTAAACAATGAGTTTTGAGGATTTGATCTGTCATAATTTCTTATGACACACCTTTCTCTAGGTCTACATGACCCACTCTTTGGACAGAGAACTCCTTATCATTATCTTCCAAAGTAACTGCTTATAAGAATATTCTACTTTCAGCTTCTAGAGCAATGAACACACAAGAGATGTGGATATACCTCAGCTAATTAAAAAACAAGAGGTTAATTTCCAAGAATGTTGCTCTTGTGTTACTTATAACCAAGCAAGCAAATGGGAAGAGCCTTGTCTTAGAGATGTTTGCATCACTTGAAATGAGTACTATTTAAATTGTACATATGGCTGAAGATAAACCTAATATTCAACAAATATTTTATAAGATAACCAGGAACACCAAAAAGTGTAAGTACTAAGAATTTTCTATTCTGATTACTCTCTCAAGCCTTCATAAGAGTAACAGGCTGGGTGCAGTGGGTCATGCCTTTAATCCCAGCACTTTGGGAGGCTGAAGCAGGCAGATCGCTTGAGCTCAGGAGTTTGAGACCAGCCTGGGCAACACAGGGAGACCCTGTCTCTACAAAAAATACAAAAACTAGCCGGGCATGGTGGTGTGTACCCATAGTCCTAGCTACTTGGGAGGCTGATGTAGAAGAACTGTTTTGAGCTTGGCAGGTGGAGGTTGCAGTGAGCCGAGATGATGCTACTGAACTCCAACCTGGGCAACAGAGCCAGATTCTGTCACACACACACACAAAGAGTAACATGTTACCGGTTCAAGCATGTGGTAGTAGTGTTAGGGGAGATTACGCAGTATCATAGGCTTTTAGGGCTTGAAAACGACCTAAACATTAGTTTGATAGCAATATTAGAATCAGGCAGTGACTTATAACAAAGTATAGCTGTGAATCTTCATAATTCAAACATTATCTGATGAAAAAATAATGAATGTTGAAGATTTAACTAGTTCTAGGTTAATCTTCGTAAAACAGTAAAACACCACTTTGATTGTATAATCGTGTCATTCCCTGATCAAAATCCTCAGTGGGTTCCCAACCAAGACTCTCTACAATCACCCCTTACCTTATCTTTATTGAACACCTACCTCCCACCCAATGATCTCAGCTGCTCTACAATGGGAACCCTTTGAGCTATTTGCTCTTCACTGAACACAGGACTCCCATTGTTGCTTCCGTGCTTTAGCTCATGTTATTCTTCTTCTGAAATTACCTTCCATCTCCCATGCCCCATAGCTTCCCCATGCCTGTGAAAACCATTTAGGTTTTCTCTCGTCTACAAAGTCTTCTTCCAACACTCTTACATATTTCTGATTGCCTAAAGGACTAAGCGTCCTGAAGTTTTAGAAGTATAGAGGACGTCAAGCATAACTTTGTCCAACTGCTCCATTTAACAGATGGAGAAACCATGGCTGAGAGGGGAAGTCGCCATTCAGAGTCTAATAATGAGTTTGTGAGAATTAACACCAAAGCCCCAGGTTACCTGGCTCCCAAATAGGTATGTCCATTCCATAAGAAAAGGGTTCATTACCTGTGTTACTATATCACTATCATCTATAACCATGCCTGATACATAGCAGTCGCTCAATAAATACTTGTCAAATGATGGAACTGGGAGGCCTTCTCTGACCACCCTATCTACAATTCCAACGCCCATCTGATATTTATGCCTGCTCTTTGCTTTTTCTCCTTAGCACTTATTACTATCTCATATTTCTTATATTTTATTTATTGTCTGTTTTCCCCTATTAGAATCCCCCCACGACAGCAGGGATTTTTGTCTATTGTGTTTATTGATGTAACCCCAGCATCTGGGGCAATGCTGGGGACATAGTTAGTACTTATTCAATATTTGCCAAATCAATAAATACTAAAACACTGTACAATATTTATTACTGTTAAATGTTTTCTGGACTTTCCTTGTCTCCCTAGAGAGTCTGTAAATTCCTTGGAATGAGAGATTATGTCTTAGACCACCTCTGTATCTCCTAGACCACTGCTTCTCAAAATCTGCTTCCTGGACTAGCAGTATCAGCTTCACCTGGAAACTTGTTAGAAATGCCAAATTTCAGATCCCAACCCATACCCACTAAGTCAGAAACTCAGGGTGGGGGCTGGTGATCCTGGGTTTTGACAAGCCTTTCAGGGGATTCTGATGGATGCAGGAGTTTGTGAATAACCAGGCTGGAGCACTTAGCATATTGCTGGGTACACATCAGGCGCTCAATATATGTATTGAATTGAACTGCAGTAAAAGATACAGAATTAAGTGCTTGGTCAATAGTATATATACTCTTGTCTGCCTGTTTTATTCCATGTCTGAGTAAAGATGGTAGACTGCAAGCTGAACTCTGTAGAAACCCTGACTGACTACTGTAAAACAAAGATGATTTCAACTATGTTTATAACTAGAAAATTATGCCCAAGAGTCAGTTAACATGCACTGAACACTTCTTGGGTGAAGAGCCTGATACTACAGCAGAAAGAGGAAAAAATCAGGCTGGGCCCTTGCCCTCAGGATATTTACACCCAGGTTGGAGGTGATGGGAAATCAATATAGGAAACAGCCTAAAAACACACACAAAAAGCAAATACAAATGAAATACACATGCTTAGGCAACACTGAAGGGAGGAGTGCTCAGTCAGATGTAATCGTAGAAAGCTTCCTAAAAGAACCATTAAGTTACATTTTTAGAAGTAGATGCTGTACAGCATAAACAGACAGTGATACAGGCAGAGTACCTCAACCAAAGGGGGTGACACTGGCAAAGGACCAGAGCTTTGTAAACAGCAAGTCACATACTGGAGACAGCAAGCAAGGTGTGGCTTGAGTAGAAACTTCAGATATGAAAACAAGATAAATTACGCTGGTAATTGAACATGTAGAGACAAAGGGAGGAGAAGGAGAGCGAAGGAGGGAGCGAGGGAGAATGAGAGTGGGGTGGGTTGTTGAGGTAAATAGGGGTAGTAAATAATTGCTTCATGGACCTACTATTTGATAGCACAATAGGGTGACTATAGTCAATAATAACTTACTTGTACATTTTAAAATAACGTAAAGAGTGTAATTGGATTGTTTGTAACTCAAAAGATAAAAGCTTGAGGGGATGGATACCCTATTCTCCATGATGTGTTTATTTCACATTGCACGCCTGCATCAAAACGTATGTACCTCATAAATATATACGCCTATTATGTACCCACAAAATTTTAAGAAAATAATTAAATTTTAAAAAGCAAACAGTAAAAATTCGAAAAAACATATAATTTTGTAAAAGGCTGAAGAATTCACATTTGATTCTGTTGACAATTTTTTTGTAGGGGTTCCTATGGTAAAAATGATATTTGTGGAAGCCCATTCTGGCAATGGAGTGCAGACTAGTTGGGGAGTAACTCGAATCTGGGAGGCCATACAGGAAGCTGCTATAGTAATATGTAATAGGCCATGAGCATCTGTGCACACAAGAAGGACTGAATGAGACTCCTACAGATAAAAAGAAACTGATGAGACCCTGAAGGAAGATTTGATGATGGGGAAAGAAGGCAAAGGGGAAATCAGTATCTGACAACTCTTGGGTTGCAAATCTGGAGAGCTGGGGACAGTGATTGGGCAGGGATGAGCTTAGATTTACCTGTCCCCTTTGTTTCAGTGGGCAGTAGTGGGGCTGGGCCAAATAAAATACGGGACTAGAGAGAAGAATAGAAACCAGTAAAGATTTACCAGCAAATGGTAAAACAAAATGTAAAAGCTATATAATGTGGTTTCAAGCCTAATTTAAGTAGTCAAAAGGGAGAAAACAAGTTGCAAAAGAAAAACGATAGACTAGCTCTCTTCATCAAATGTCCTTTTAAAATGTAGATTTGATGATTGGTATTGACATAAAATGTTTACTTAGCTGGCCTTCTGAGAAGTTCAGTTTATTGAATTTATACCCTAGAGTTTTTAAAAGGATTTTAATTAAAGAGTGTCTTTAAATACTTATAGTCCAGTCAGAATCTCAAAGCATTATAGAAGCACATAGCTTTATAATGTTATGTGCTTTGTTACACATAACAAAGTTACAAATGAGCAGAGAGGTAAGATGGCAAATCAAGGAGGCAACTCACTATCAGGCATAGGAGCAGACTACTAATACCCTGGAACACAAATCAGATGAGTGTGTTGTGACGTGTATTTGATGAGCATTTGCACACAAGAATGCATACCTAAATTTCAACACTTCATTAAAAACTAATGGAGCCTATATATCAACCATCTGATCTTTGACAAACCTGACAAAAACAAGCAAGGGGGGAAAAGATTCCCTATTTCATTTTCACACACACACACACACACACACACACACACACTAAACCTGTATGATATATAATATATATCATACTACACCTGTATGATATACAGTATCCCTAGTCTAAAATGCTCCAAAATTTTTTGAGTGCTGACGATGCTCAAAGGAAACTCTCACTGGAGCATTTTTGGATTTGGGGTTTTCAGATTATAGATGCACAACTGGTAAGTACAATGCAAATATTCCAAAATCCAAAAGCATCGGAAATCTGAAATACTTCCAGTCCCAAGCATTTTCAACAAGGGATATTTAACCTGAATATAAATACACACATATATGTATATATACACTAT